ATAACATCACTCCTCAATTTGCTCCGATGCATGGTGTACGAACCATAACATCACTCCTCAATCTGCTCCGATGTATGGTGCTCGAACCATAACATCACTCCTCAACTGGCTCCGATGCATGGTGCTCGAACCATAACATCACTCCTCAACCTGCTCCGATGTATAGTACACGAACCATATCGTTACTCCTCAATCCGCTTCGATGTATGGTACTTGAACCATAACATCACTCCTTAATCTGCTCCGATGCATGGTACACGAACCATAACATCACTCCTCAATCTGCTATGATGTATGGTACTTGAACCATAACATCCCTCCTCAATCTGCTCTGATGCATGGTACACGAACCACAACGTCACCCCTCGATCTGCTCCTTAGAACCTTCAGAATACTCCCTGTATTGAGTATGGGTCCTCTACTTTCGGTAGTACGGGCCCATACTATCTGCCACATCTACCCATAATTTCCACACTGACCATCCCAGAGCTCCTAAGTAGCTGCTCAACCTTCTCGTTCGCTAATTCTGCCACGCGTGCTCGCTCCTCAGCGAAATGCTCTACTCCGCCAGTGTACTCATCTGGCTAAGGTTACTCCCTTGGCTCTTCCTTGGTCCTCCTACTTCTCCACCATCAGCTGTTGAAGAGGTCCTAATGATGCCACCCATCTACCTCCTGAATATCATCATATTCACTCGGTAGCTAATTCCCATCATCGAGAGTTCCACAAAGCACGAAGCAAGCAGCATTCGGGCATCGAAGAATACATAGAACTCACTCTGGGTGATAACTCCGCTTGCTTTGCTCATTCTCCAAAGTACCCCCGAACTCTGAAACTCTACCCCTCGCAGGTTCTAACTATTCTTTCGATAAGCACCACAACACTCATCTAGGCGTCTCTCCTAGATTACTCCTCTACTCAAATCCCCTAAAAGGATTCCAACTAAATACTCTCACTCATACTCAAAAGTGCATCACATTACAGCAACTCCTAGGCTAAGGCATCACAAATCAAGCCACTCTAGTCCTAAGATATGAAATACCTAGCCTGTCTCTAGCATGCATAATATCTCATAAAATGTATCATAAATATCTCATAACACAAAAGTAAGGATATTTTGGGAAACCACCGTTCCGGCTCTGGCTGATTGTACACACTGCTCTTTCTCGCTTCCTCTTTGAACTCTTATTCATTTTAGAAAATCATTTCTTTGAAAACTTTTCTTACTTCCTCATTTTGAGTCCAGATTTACCTGAAGGTGCATCCGAATCCCTCAAACCAAGGCTCTGATACCAACTTGTAACACCGAAAATTTTCAAAACTAAAATTTTCATTTAAATTCGCTTTAATCTTAAAATACTTTTTGTAAAAATCTCAATTTTTTTAAATTATGAAAACATAACTCCATAATCAAATAAATAGTAATCCAGGATCCTCTTAAAACATAACTCTTTCTCTAGTGTGTACAATCGAGCCGGTGCCGTCCCGTGATCCTGAGAAAACCTTAAACACTAAGCACAAACACTGTAAGAACGAAGCTTAGTGAGTTCCCCAAAATACCACATACAACAAATACGCCACTCAAGGCTACAATATGACCCTCCGGTCGGTGTGTCTCAGCAGAACCCTCCAGTTCCATATCGTTGGACCCTCCGGTCCGGTCTGTAACGTTGGACCCTCCGATCCGGTCTATATCGTTGGACCCTCCAGTCCGGTCTATAAACTCCGAATAGCATAAATCACAAAGACATGATGCATAGCATATCACATATAACATGATACTCATTGTAAGCACATAAGACCATCCGGTCACACATAACTACCACTCAAGGTAACGTATAGTGAGAAGACTCACCTCAAACGAAGTCAGATGACCTCTCGTGCTAAACGTCTCGACCTGGCCTCCTCCTATTATTCAAATAACATCCCCGATCAATACATTCTCATTGTCTCAACTCTAAATATTGGGTAAAAGACCACTCTACCCTTCCCTGAACTCTCTTAAGTCAGTCTTAACGAAAACACTAAAGTCAACGGTCAAACTTTGACCCGACTCGTTGATTGCACATGGACGACTCGGTGAGTCCACACGTGTCCACTAAATCCTCCTTCTAGCCTCGTTTGACACGTCGAGCCAACCCATAGCTCGACGAGTTACTCCTGGTATGAATCGCGGGGCAACCCCGACTCGACTCGTCGAGTCTCTCTATGGACTCGGTGAGTTTCCTCCATGACTATGCTTATTCGACCTTCTGAGGCCAGATCTGCTTTACCAACTAGTAGATCTAACCTTCTAGCACTCAAAAGTCACGTAAAGGTTCAAACTTTACGTTCATGTAACCTACAGTTAGCTATAGATGGAGAAATAACCCTTAAAATGATCACCTAAGCTCCAAACTCATAAAAGACTGCATAAAGCTGGTGAATAGGGACTCTCTGGACCTCTCAAGGTCCAAATCTGAAGATATACACACAAAGGGGACATCACATACTCTAGATCTCTTACTAAAAGAAGAGAAGAAACCCTAGATTCATGAAATCTATCACACAAACGAAGATGAACATGAATCCTTACCTCTTAGAGCAGCTCTGAACGAAAGGAAGGAAGATTTGAGTCCCACAAAACAGCCTAACACGAAATCCATCCTTCCCCTTGCTAGAACACACCAAAATGTGATGAATTTGACCTCCTCTTGTACCCCACGCTCTCTCTCTTTGTTCTCTAGGGTTCCTTGGGGTGTAGTGGCCGCAAATAAAGGCTATAAGGACCTTTAAATCGGCCCAAACCCGAGAAATTAGGGTTTCTCTGCCCAACACCTACTCAACGAATCCCTCCTCTGACTCGTCGAGTCCACTCATTAAATCCGCGTAAAAAACCCGTCTCGACTCGGCGAGTTGGATCCGCAACTCGTCGAGTCTCTCCTTTAATCAAAAGATTAAACTACACAATAATAACCCTGAAAATCCGAATGTTTCAAATGACCCCTAACCTTCCTTGTTCTCATATTTAGCACCATTTAATCAATAAATAAAAGGAAACTTACATCTTTCACACTTTGACCCCCAAATAATTCATTTTATTTGATTAGTCAAATGACTATGTTAACATTAGCAGCAAAGTTTACTATTTGTCGAAACTAGTCCCTCAACTTTACAACTCTTGTCAAATTTACAATTACTTCAATTATTTTCACATTTATATAAAAGGTTGACATAGTAACTCCTCCTCCATCCATTATATGAATTTAGTAGTTCTTTCCACTAACTGAGTCAACCCTTTGGTCAATTTACTTCGCAAATTTGACACTTTTACCCCTTTAACTTTAAAATGTTACTATTTTCACTTATAACATTCCAAACTTCATATCAACTAATGATATGATTATCCCTTGATTATTTAACTATATAAATCATTTCATTTATTTAATTGATTAGTTTAAGAACCCGATCTTAAATTTTAGGATGTTACATTAACAAGGGTAGAAGGCAATGGAATTAAGTTTGACTTTTGGTTGGAATTATTGGCTTTACCGGATAAAAAATTTCGGGTTGTCACACCCTAATTCTCGAGTGTTTGCAAATGTATGATACAAAGTTGAAATTCAATAGTTTCGATATTTTCATTATGTAATAGTTTGGTTTGTTTGATAAGATTATGTTTGTTCAAGGGTTACACCAAAATGGGGGAGGATTGTTAGTGATTTTAGTGTCACCATGTCATTTTATGTAACTAGAATTAACATTTGAGTTAATGGGCTTCATAATATGTATTTTAATATATGTCCGGGTTTATGCAGAGTGCACACATGTATAAGATCAAATTAGAAGTTGGTTCAACGACAAGTCGGGGGTCCGGGGGCAGCGCCCCTAGATCCAGGGTTTCCAAAGGGGCAGCGCCCCTAGCATTAGTTTTACATATGAGAATATAATGAGAATTAGGATTCTTGAGGAAGAGTCGTTAGTTTTGGTAACCCTAAATCATCATTAAAATCCAGATTACCCTGACTTGCTTCCAAAGTAACTCATGATAGCTCATCCCTAATGAAACCCTAATCTCGTTTATTATACAAACGGTTCTTCATTCTCAGAAGAGAGACACGGAATTTAACTCTCATTTTCTTCACACTTTCACAGAATCCTTCTAGTTACGATTTTTGTGTCTAGTATCGTAAGTGTCCACTTGGATTATCCAATACTGAATTTCTTGCAAGTCAGACATATGGTAGAAATATCAGTTCAGAAAGTGTTCTCACGATCCAAATTGGTATTCAGATCTCCACCATAAACCCTAATTTTTTAACATGCATGACCTTTTGGATGATATGGACGCGCTCCACATCATGTTTTGCATAAAAACATAAAATATCAAACGCATTTGCATAAAAAAATAAAATATCAAACGCAATTAAATATCAAATGCAAAAAATATAAACATAAAATATCAAACGCCTTGTCATATTTGCCTTGTCATATTTTGGTGTTTGTCTAACAAAAAAAACTCACTCCGTATTTTCTTAAGCCCACGGGAGGGAAACTTTTACATCTATATATATGCATGCTTCCTTTCTACTCAAAATAAATAAATAAATAAAAGTTGGACTAAATAAATGTTGATCTTCCTCATCAAAAAATTGACCAAATGTTTTTTATATTAAATAATAAAATTTAATAATCCCCAGAAGTACATAAACAAATTTTGACTAGGCGTCAATAATATTATAAACATCTACAAAAGAACACAAAACAATATGTTACAAGAAACCAACTGCCAAAAATAACTTCAGATCTGATTGGTTGATTCTGGTTTCCTAATTTGGCTGATTCTGGTTTCCAGTCTCCTCGATTTCAGTTTAAATCTCGATTTTGATCCTTTTATCGAGTATCCTGTCTCTTAGTTCTTAGGTTTATGTTTAATTTATGGTTTCAGTTTCCTCATTTATGACACTGAAGATGAAATGGGTTTTCTGAGTCGAGCATTCATACGAAAATTTATTAAATAACCATAGAAATTAAAGCATATAAATCAGAACACAAACTGAAATCAGAAAGATAGCACCATTGATATTTGATAGAACTATAAAGTATAAACCATTAAATAGAACGTAGAAATTACAAAGCATTACTACAACAACAGAGCAGAGACCATTTATGGGATTCACTGAGTTACAGCTGAACACATGTTTGGAGTTTGTTGCTGCGAAATGATATCTAAGTTAATCCGGGAGCATGATCGGATCATTTCTCCGGCAAGAGAGATCACCGGAAGATTATCACAGTTGCAAATTTCGACCATGAATCCATCTGGATCATGGAAGAATAACTGATCCACGTAGATTCCACCTTCCTCCACCCTCTGTCTCTTGTAAACGATTTCCATCTCCTTCAGCTTCTTCTCCACTGCTCCCATGCTCTCACACTGTCGTCATAAACAAAACCCAATTCAAACTTCGAAGCTCAAAAACGGAGTTGATCAAAATCGATGTTTAAACTGTGTTACCTGGAAGGAAATATGATTATCTTTGGGATTTATTTCGGTTTTCTTCGGCATGTTATCAGGGTGTTCGGATTGCAATAAATGAATCCCAATTCCGTAGTTAAACAGCCTGCAAATAATCATATTAAGGATAATTCATAAGGTGGCGGATAAAGATCAATAACAATCAGAGAATCCAGAATTTTCAGTTCGACGATTCTGGATTTCAGCTTTTGTTCGAAATTAGGGTTACAAGGTGAAGATGAAATTACCATGCACCATCGAAATCAAACGATCCAGGCCTTCTGATCGGGATAAATCCGAGAACATTAGTATAGAAATTGATGGATTCTTCAATGGAGCGGCATACGAGCGAGATGTGATTCAACGACTTGAGGTGCAGAGGATTTCCAGCAGTTTCCTTCATTTTCCGACAAATTTTTGGAGCGAATGCGATTGATTAATCGACGAAACTCAAATTCAACTGAAGAACAAATTGGAAAGATGACGATGAAAATCAGAGTACTCGAAAGGATAATTTGTTGAGGGCAAGACGTATATGAAGAAAAAAGATGAAAGAATTCTTCGACTGATTGATTCAGAAAGGATGAGAACACCGCATTGAACGAGAACGGAGTTGAGGTTTCTTATAGGAGAAAGTTTTCTAAGCTTTTGGTACTTCTTTTCCACGTGTCATGATTATCCTGTGCTTGACACATAGGTTCCACGTTGCTAACAGCCCATGTGGATACTGACACCTCATTTCAACTAGACAACTAGGTTTTGGATTTTCTCGGTTGAATTTTAGCTTAAAAAACAGCTGTAAATATTTGGGAGAATTTCATATATGCCCTTCTTAAACCTCAAAATATCATATTTGCCCAGCTTAATTTCTTAATATCATATTTACCCTTCATAAACATTCAAAATATCATATTTGCCCAAATCCTTTTTTATAATGTTTTTAATATTTTATAATCATTTTTTATAACTTAAAATTACTATAATAATTAAAAAATTTAACGATATTATCCTTACGTCTATGATAATGGAACGTGAACTTCTAAATTGTTGGAATGTCGTCCTCTTGACAAACAAAAATATTCATTTTCAACCCTCTCTATGGAATGTATATTTTGATTGTTTAGTTTTTTTTGTTGATTATGTTGTAGATGAAGAATATTTTAGATATTACCATTGATATTTTGATGTTTAAAAAGTACATATATGATATTTTGATATTTAAAAAGGGTATATATGATATTATGATGTTTAAAAAGGACATATATGATATTTTGAAATTTTATGAATGGTAAATATGATATTTAGAAATTTTATGAAGGGTAAATATGATATTTAGAAATTAAGTTGGGTAAATATGATATTTTGATGTTTAAGAAGGGCATATATGAAATTCTCCCTAAATATTTTAGGTATACGACGACTCGGATTTAGAAAACGTGAACCGACCCTCTACTATTAATCAATAAAAAGACAAAAATCGTTTTTTTTTTATTTTATTTTATTTTTAAACTATTCTTATAGTCCATGGATATATTTTGAATCCCATAGAAAAAAAAAATCTTAAAATACACAAATGTCATCAAGTTCTTTTATACTAACTCAATAATTGAAAAAAATTACTTATACTACCTTTTAAATATAAAAATTTTCTTAAAAAAATTGGCCCATTTGAAAGATGGATCATAGACAATCGTCCGTATCACATATTTTCTAGGACAAGCCTGAGAGTAAATTATGTTTTGGAGGTTGTGTTTATATTTATTTGTCATTTAAATCTAACTTTTGAATTTGTAACATGATTCATCGTTGTGGTTTTGAAAAATTGCATGCATGACTCGTGAGGCCGATCCTCTTAATGCCTCTTCGTTAAGTACATTTTGTCGTTAAGTGCACCGTAAAATGATGAACATACCTTGTTTTGTCAGTTTTCTAGTTTTGTCTTTTTACTATTTTTATCATTCTTTGAACTTGAGGTATTATTTCCAGCATTTACATGAAAATGATAAAATAAGACAACCTTTTTACTATTTCTTCTTCTTGAATCCACCACCAAGATGTCTTTCCCGTTGTCACTAGTTTGATATCACCTCCTTACTTTATGTTTCTCTCGTACAACATCGATTACCACTCTCTACTATTTTGCTCATATGGCATGTTAAAGTTCCACAAATTCTTTATGCTTGTTTAAAGAATTTTACAGAATACAAAAGTTTAAATTTTTTGCTGAAAAGCTGAAATATTTCAGCTTTGATATTTCAACTTTGAAAGATTGTAACTCATTAAATATAACATAAAAAAACAACAAAATTATAGTTTAAAATCATTTACAAACTCTAAATCAGCCGGAAAAAAAAAGTGCATGTCAATCCGACATAAAAGAAATGAAATATATTTGTTTAAAGAATTTTAGTAAATACAATTTAAAAAAAATAATAAGTCGGTCAAAAATCTGTTTTTACCTGGAACATGCCGAACCGTACCGGTAAAAAAAACCTGACTGGTTTTTCTGAAATCCTAGAACTGAGAACCGCTCCATGGGTCCAAAAAAATCGGTTATGTCCGGTTCACCGGTTCGATCTGGTCCATAGGTCCAAATGCTCATCTCTACTAATTGCCTTTTAAGCATGGACAATTGGATTTCTTCTTCTTGACACTTCTATTCAAGATAGTGAATAAATGAGCATTTAAAGTTTGATTTTTATAATTCTTCATGCCAATCCCAAACAGTTTCAACATGCTATGCAACTCCTTTATAGACATTTCAGAGTTGTTCCTATCAAAATCTAAGTAACTTAATTATATGTACATGTCAGCGAGTTGGCCATGATAACCATAGTCGACTCCTAACTTAATAAAATTCCATTTCATTTCAATAGTATGGATGATGATGTTTCTAATAGTTTTGGAATGCAATGATTTAAGAATCCTTAGAAAGAGCTTTATCTAAGGCTTGGTCATTGTATTAGTATGTAAGAATTATTCCCAAACTACAAATTTGGCTAGAATGATCATCATGTTGGAAATAGTGTCCAAGATCATTAACTATTGGTAATATTTCTAAATAACTACAGGGTCCTTCTGGGTTTCCCTCATGACAATTAAGAATAAGGAAATCGAGAAAAATAAGTTATTAATTTATTATGAATTGATAAATTAATTGGAAATTATTTTGGCAATTAACTAAATAGTTTTTATTAATTCAAAGGCTTGAATATTAATTGATTTCTCGAGATTAATTGGAATAGCATAGAAGCCTCTTGGAAAGAGAGATGGATGATTTCATCCTAAAGAATTAAAATAAGGCATGCTTTTTATAAGGATAAGGATTATCTTTAAGAATATTATCAACTTAACGATTTAAGCTGCTACCTTTAAATAGGGTGGTAGAGAGTAAACTAGGGTTCCCTTTTATCTCTCCACAGGCTTGAAAATTATAACCAGTCTCTAAGGTTATAGCAATTTTGAATTATCCCTTAATAGGTTTGTAACATCCCGAAATGAGGTATACTTCGATGACCCTAATCTTTTATGCAATTATCAAGACTAGTACTTAATTGAGAAAAATCTGGCAATTGAGTACACAGGTCATACGCATGTGTACGTACAGCGTACTATTGCACTTTGCATGTTCATGAAGGCCACCTAGTACGTTGGGCGTACAAGAGGGTACGCTGGGCGTACTAGGCTCAAAGTGAAAACCCTAATGCCTTGTGTGCCCCTATTTAAGGAACATGATGGACTCATTTCCAGCCTCTAACCTCCCTCAAACCCTAAATCTCGTATTCCTTGCTTGTGTGAGTGTTTGTAGCTCATTGAGTGTTCTTGTGAAGCTTTTGGTGAAGAAGGAGCCTTGAAGGAAGGATAGTTGGTGTGTCTAGCTCTTAGATATGAGTTCTACTATTGTTGGTGCATCATCCAGAAGTATCAAGTTCGAAACTTGTTCATTGTTGTGTTAGATCATGTTTTGGGTCCATTTTTAAGGTTTTATGTCCTAAGTTTGGAGCTTTGTGAGTTTGGTGAACTCCAGAGCCTACCCTCTATCCTTTTAAGTGTATTTGGTTGTTTATATTCATAAAAATGGGGTCTTGATCCTCTAGACCTCCCTATGCATGAGTTATGTGGACTTTTGGGTTGAGAAGGTTAGAGTTTGTGAGTTTGGGACTTGTTCAGCCATGCTAAGGCTTAAAGTCCACAACTTTATGAGGTATTAGGCGTTATTCAGCTCAAACCTGTAGATATAACATTTGTCTTAACAGATTAAGACCAAGTAACATGAGGAATGAGAGTTTGAAACATATGTCGTGCTTACTCCCAGCTATGCGCAACATAGCGTTGAGACCCCTTGATGCATGCATTGTTAGTTGTACGCCCAACGTACTTGCTGGGTGTTGACTTTTCGTTGACCTTTGAGTTTTTGGCCATTTTGTGGACTTTTGGCCAAGGAGGGGTAAAATGGTCTTTTTCCCTCTTAAGATTTTGTAGAGAGACTCGGTCTAGTATTTTTTAGTTATTAGTATTATTTATTAAATAGGGATGAATGTGATATATTAGGCAGAGTCTACACCAGCAGTTTAGGTGCGAGATTGATTGCTTTCCATCGAGAGGTGAGTCTTCTTACTATACCTACTTGTGTGGTAACTTTTGTGTGATAGGAGGGTCTGATTTGTATTACTGACTGGAGGGTCTTATCTGTTTATGTGTTATTATGCATTCTACATTTGTAACTTATGCTATTATGTTATTCTGTGTATTTACTAAGCTATGACCAGAGGGTCCATATTGAGACGTGAGACCACAGGGTCTTCACTAAGAAACATTACCGAAGGGTCCGTATTGAAATTCAGCCATAAGAGGATAATTACTTGTGTACATGGTATTTTGGGGATCCCACTAAGTTTTGTGCTTAAAATGTTGATTAAATGTGTTTCAGGTACATCTCGGGATCGCGGGAAGGCACCATCATGATTTTACACACCAAATTGATGTTTAGAGTTCATGAGGATTCTGAGATATTTGACTATGTTTCATAATAATTGTATTTGACAATGAGAATTTGGCAAGAGTTAATGCTATGAACTATATTTTGATAATAAAAAAATGAAAAAAAATTGTTTGAAAATTTTGGTTGTTACAAGGTTTTTCCTAGCTTTTCCTACTGGAGTCTTGGGTTTGAGTACATTAGATGGATTCATCTTAGGTCCTTCATCGTCTACAAGTATTGTCAATCACATGATCCCAATCAAAAGATCGAAAGTCAAGTATTCTTATTTTTCTTTGTTTACTTTAAAGTAGGTTGATATAATTAGTATAACCTAGATCATATGATGCATGTACACATAGGGATTATTTTGTTGATTTTGCCATGTTAATTTATATTTATATATCTATCTACATCTATATATATATATATATATATATATATATATATATATATATATATATATATATATATATATAATTATAAAATATGCATTTTTACTTACACCACATTTATTTGAAACCTCCATGACTTTTCAATTTCTTTTTAATAATTATTATAAATTGGTTAATAATTTTAAATTAATGTAAAACTAAATTCTAATTATAAATTAACTAATTAA